GGATTCTCCGGCATCTCCTTCCCACTCAGCTTGGGGCGTTCCATCTGCCGCTGAATTTCAGAGCCGCTTACTGACTGGCTTTGCAGTTTTGTTTTACGAACATAAGACAAACATCAGGCCATTGGTCCATCAAGTCCAGCATCCTGTTCTCACGGTGGCCGAGTGGATGCCTCTTTTGGGGAACCTGCAAGCAGGATTCGGACGCCAGATCCCTCTCCCCTTCTGGGATTCAGAAGCATTGTTGCTTCTGACTGCGGAGGCAGAGCAGAGCCGTCATGGCTAGTAGCCTTCGATAGCCCTTTCCTCCTCCATGAATTTGTCTAATCCTCTTTTAAAGCTTTCCAAGTTGGTAGCCATTACTGCCTCCAGTGGCAGCGAGTTCCATAGTTTAACTACGTTCTGCATGAAGAAGAACTTTCTTTTATCCTTCCTGAACCTTTCATCGCCCGCTTTGGAGCATTCCATCTGTCACTGAGCAGTGGAAAACGAGCTTGCTCCGTCTTCGATGTGGCAGCCCTTCAGGTCTTGGAAGGTGGCAATCATCTCACCTCTCAGTCTTCGCTTCTCCTGGCTAAACATCCCCAACTCCCTCAGCCATTCCTCATAAGGCTTCGTTTCCAAACCCTCGATCATTTCGTTTGCTCTCCTCTGCACGCCTTCCAGCTTGTCAGTATCCTCCTTAAAGTGGGGTGCCCAGAACTGAACACAGCACTCCAGGTAGAGAGTGCTGACCAATGCACGTTTGGGGGATGAAACCCCCGAAAATTCAGTGCAGCCTCTCCCTTTCGCTCTCTATGCGTTGGTTTTGTCACTGGGTGTTGAATCTCCCAGGAGAATAGGTTCCCCCATTGCGTTTTATGCCTGTCTTCCTCCTCTTTTGATTCTCTCTCTCTTTTTAGTATTTTTAATACTAATTTTTTATTAAGAATTTCAACATAACAATTCACCAAAAACAATTTCAACATAACAATTCACCAAAAACAATTCCTCCTATTTTTCCCTCCCCAAACCAGAAACCCCCCCACCCACCCCTCAGACTTCCCTCAGCTCCTCTCTCTGGTTTCTCAGCACATATTAAACTCTGCATATTATATAATTGTAAAGATCCTTAACCTATCTCTCTATATATTACCGATAATAAATTTGTGTATTTTATTCAAAACCTGCCAAGGAGCCCAGTTCAGTTTGTTGTTTCTTTAAGTACTTTGTAAAAGGTTCCCAATCTTCCTTGAAGTCACGGTTGTCCTTGTCATGTAGTTTGTATGTCAATTTCGCCAATTCTGCATAGTTTCCGCATCAGTTTCTCTAGCCACAGTTCTTTGGTCGATTTTTTTCATTCTTCCATCCTTGTGCTATTAAGATTCTTGTACATGAAAATGTTATTCAATTTCCTTGGCTGCCTCCTTTGATTCTCAAAACAAATTGCTGAACCAAAGTCGACTGAACATACCCTAAAAGTAAAACATAGCCTGAAAAGCAAATGTATTGGCATGGTGACAGAAATGCAACGTACAGAGGAGGCAGCCAGTAGTGTTCCAGAACAGACCCTCAGCAGGTGACAAGGAGGCTCCCTCCCTCCCTCCCTCTCTCTTCTCTCTCTTCTCTCTCTTTCTCTCAGGACGTCCTGGCCCTGCAGGCCCATTGTTTTCTGCTAAGCAAACACCTGGCAGGCAGCCGCAATACCTGCCTTTGCGTTTCAGAGAACAGCCCGTGGGCAGGGCCTGGGGAGACTCCGCACCCTTATCAGATGCACCCTGCCACATTATCACAGCAGAAGTGCCAGCCCAGGAGGAGAGGATTTATTCCTCCTCTCTCTTCCCGTGGCAGGGAGTTCCATAGTTTAACTCTGCTCTGCATGAAGGACTCTCTTTTGCCAGTCCTGACTCTTGCAACGTAGGAAGTGTTTGTACACATGCAAATTAATGTATCATAGTTTGTGTCTCTTGATATCTAAATGTGGACATACTTGGAGCAGAATCCTGCACCTCGTGGCAGCCTAGGAGGGAAGCAACTTTCGTCTCTCCAACAGGAGCATGTTTTCATAAAAGTTAGACCAGGCATCCCTAGCCTGCAGCCGTCCAGATGTTTTGGCCTACAACTCCCATGATCCCTAGCTAACAGGACCAGTGGTCAGGGATGATGGGAATTGTAGTCCAAAACATCTGGAGGCCTGAAGGTTGGGGATGCCTGAGTTAGACTGATTGTTGTCCCCTGGAATTTGAAAAGCTGACTGCACTTGGTTCATTGGTTCCTAGTGAGGAATTACAGGGAATTACGCTCGTGTCAATTGCTCTTGTTCTATATAGCTGCATAGATAAAGGCAGACTGAAGATTTTCACTTTTAAGGTTTGAACGCATGTCTGCAGTCAGTGGAACGCGTAGAAGCCTGCAGATTTCAGTGTCGAGGGAACAGGCATTGGTGAACTTTGTAGAATTGGGGGCAGAGGAAGTTTTTTAAGATCTTGGGATGCAAAGTCCTGAGGGTTGTGGCTTACTTTTGCAACATCCCATGGGGTAATCGTGGGCCGTCCTTAGATCTGAATATTAGAAAAACGTTATCTTTCCGAGGCAATGCGCATGCCTTTGTTGGAGGAGGGCTGGGAGGGGGAGCAGTTTGTGGTCTGGGTCCTAAGAGCCAGGACAAAGATTTCCGCTGCCTCCTTCCATCCTCCTGGGATGCTGTGCAGTGACGTAAACTCGTTTCACACATACTCCAGGATGGCTCAAAGCCCACAACTCTCCTTGGAACAGCCTGATGCAATTGTCTCCATTTCCTCTCTTGGCAAAGGTCCTTGTTTTGGACAGTGCAAGGGCTCCATTAAAGCGTCAGATCAGATTGAAGTCCAGTCTCAGAGGATGGCAAAACCCAGTTCCTGGAAACGGGAACCAGCCACTGAATAGGTGTTGTAGGTGCCCTGCAAAAAGCATTTATGGGTGGGTGCCCTCTCTCAGCCTCGCTTGTCCACTTGCCATACAGACGCAGTTGTCTCGTTTGCAGCGTCACTGCAGGTTGGGGTGGGAGACTGAGATACGCATGTCCTGCATTTTGCAGCCTCGGAAACAAACAGTGCTGACAAAAAGCAGCCCTGTGTGCCTGGGAGAGGTTCCTTTCCCTTCTCGCCAGCCCCAGGGTGTGCCCAGGTACTAGCTGAGAACCCCCTGCCTAAACCAATCCCTGCCAGGCATCGGTTCCACTCTGGGTGGGGTGAGAGGGAGGTGTGCTGGGCGGCTCCCCCAGAGTCAGGAAGTCCCCTGCCTTGGAAAGCGCACCACCATCAGTCGTGGCTGGGGGCCAAGGTTTGGTGAAGAACTTAAGAAGAGGAGCCTGCTGGATGAGGCCCATCTAGTCTGGCATCCTGTTCTCACAGTGGCCAATCCGATGCCCCAGTGGGAAACCAGCAAGCGGGATTCAAGCACAAGAGCAACTCTCCTGTGGTTTCCAGCAGAGGGGTTGATGGTTGGTTGGCAGAGGGGTGCTGCAGGTGGGGTTTTAATCGACTTTTAAGCTTGCATTTCCTCCCTGCCTTCCTTTTCTTTCTTTTTAATATAAATTTTTATTAATTTTTTAACATAGCATTTTCAACAGCAATTAAACATACTTTTACTTCTTATTCAATTTTTCAGTTCCATCAGTCTGGTCTGAAAATTTTCCAATTTAGTCTCTCAGTATGCATTTCTTATTTTCCCTATTACATTTCAAACTTATAACCAATATCTCTTATCTTTTCCCAGTCTATCTCTTAGTATGCATTTCTTAGAATCATAGAGTTGGAAGAGACCACAAGGGCCATCGAGTCCAACCCCCTGCCAAGCAGGAAACAAAAACTTGCAGGAAACAAAAACTTGTTTTTGGAAACTTGTTTTTGGAAATAAGTATTACATTTCAAACTCATAGCCAATATCTCTATCTTTTTCTACTTTGTAACACTTTGTATATTTCGCCTTACAAAACTTATTGTAGTCCTACTAGCGTAATTTGTTGGTTACAATTGCTCTTCAGATAGTTCATATACTACTTCTTCCAATCTTCTGTAAATCTCTGGTCCCGCAGGTTTCGAATCCTTCCTGTCATTTTGTCCAGTTCTGCATAGTCCATTAATTTCGTCTGCTGTTCTTCTTTTGTTGGAATTTCTTCTTGCTTCCACTTCTGGGCTAACAATACTCTTGCCGCTGTTGTTGCATATAAAAACAGTTTAACATCTTGCCTATTAATGTCCTGGCCTATAAAAGGTAAAGGGACCCCTGACCATTAGGTCCAGTCACAGACTACTCTGGGGTTGCGGCACTCATCTCGCTTTATTGGCCGAGGGAGCCGGCGTACAGCTTCCGGGTCATGTGGCCAGCATGACTAAGCTGCTTCTGGCGAACCAGAGCAGCGCACGGAAACGCTGTTTACCTTCCCACTGGAGCGGTACCTATTTATCTACTTGCACATTGCTGTGCTTTCGAACTGCTAGGTTGGCAGAAGCCGGGACCGAGCAACGGGAGCTCACCCCGTCGCAGGGATTCGAACCACAGACCTTCTGATCGGCAAGTCCTAGGCTCTGTGGTTTAACCCACAGCGCCACAAATGCTTCTGGTTTTTTTTAAGAATGTATATTTCAACCCTGCCTGCCTTTTCTTAATCTACTTGGAGCTTTGGGAGGCTAGACACCAAAACAAAATGAATAGGAGCGGTAGAATTCCTGCGTTGGAAGTGAAGCCATGCCTGTATCACTACCTCGCTCCTGTTTCTGGGCGACCTGGCCCTTAGTCTTGCTGTCAGCATCCTTGTGCCTTCTCCCCCCCAACACCCCTCTCTGTGCTCTTTCTATCCAGCTCCCCTCTGAGCATCTGAAACAGCTTCCTCCTCCAAGGACCTGCTTCCTTGCGCTCCACTCTTGCCAGTCCCCCTGATCTCCTCCTGGGGGAGGTGACTGCATCTCTCCAGACTTCCAGCCCTAGCACGCTGTGGGCAGCCAGTCTCACGGCCCATTTCTGCTCTGTCTCTCTCTGTTCAGGCTCCAGAAGGCCCAGGAGGAGCACCGCACGGTGGAGGTGGAGAAGGTCTCCCTGGAGAAGCGGCTGCAGGACGAGATCAGCATTGCCAAGCAGGAGGCCCACCGGCTCCGGGAGCTGCGGGAGGGGACAGAGAACGAGCTCAGCCGGCAGAAGTATGCAGAGCAGGAGCTGGAGCAGGTACGCCCTGGCCGGGAGCAGCCCCCATGCCGGGTAGGTGGACAGCTCCTCCTGGGGGGCTTGAACTCTCTTTGGGCTCCGGAGGTTTCTGCCTGACCTGCTGCCCTTTGGAACTGAGCCCCCCAAAGCCAGCCTTTTAAAAAAGGTGGCAGCCATATGCCAGATTCTCTCCTCCCATCAATCCCAATTTTAAAATGACGCACATGATTCCTGTCTCCATATAATTGGGCTAAAAAACCCAGAAGGCCTCGTCCAACCTCAAGGCAGTCGTATCTTTGGCCTGTTTCCCATGACCGCTTGACCTTGGGCAGCAAGACTGGCACAGACAACCTCTCTAGCCCAATCTCTGCGGCTCAGGAGGGTTGGAAGTGGCATACAGGTTTTGAGGTCCAAGTTGGAGGAAAGCTTGTGGGCTTCGGGTCAACGTCAGGCCTCCTCTGTTATCCTCCCCGTTCATGGGTTCATTGGAGAAGGTGCAGAAAAGAGAAGCCAAAATGACCGAGGGGATAGAGCGACTTCCTAAGGTTGCAGCGTTTGGGGGTTCTTGGTTAAAAGGTGACATGATCGAAGTTTGTAAAATGATGCATAGCAGGGAGAAAGTAGATGCAGAAGAGTTTCCCCTCTCAACACTGGAACTCGTGGACATCGGATGAAGCTGAGCGTTGGAAGATTCAGGACGGATCAGAGAAAGTCCTTTGCAGAGTATGGAGTTCAGCTGTGGAACTCCCTCCCGCAGCAGACAGTGACAACCACCAACTTGGATTGTTTTATAAAAGAGGATTGAACAAAGTCACGGAGCAGGAGGGGGCTGTCAGGAGCTTGGCCTACACTCGAGTAGGACCCTGGCAGAGACACATGCCCGACTGGCATGTTCTCTCCCTCCTGGTCTTTCGTTCGGGAGCTTCAAAAGCTTTCTTCTGCCCGAACATCACAGCGACCGATGCCAACAGACAGTGGCACACTTAGGGATGCGCAGATTTTGTGCAATTTGTGTAACAGACCTCAGCAACTCAGCATTTTGGCTAATCTACTTTATTTACATATAAACCCACACGGAGCACTGCAACATGGCTCCCTCTCTCTCTCTAGCATCAGACAGCAAAGAGAAAAAGAACAAGGACAATAGTCCCACTTCACGGAACACAGTAACACAAACATCCTGTCTCCGTCACTTCCCACTCTGTGGAGTGAAAAAATATACCGTCATGTGATAGACAACCATCCCATGACTGCAATCATGGAGCAGAAATTCTAACAGGGGCCACGGATGACTATTAGCCAGGATGCTCTGCCTCCACAGCTAAAGAGAGTAAGGCTTCTCAGGCGCGCCTGGGAGGAGCCCTGGCACACCTTCCTAAAGGCCCGCTACTGCAGCGGAAGAGCCCGATGGAGCCTGTGACAGGCTCTGGTGGAGCCGGCTGTTGCAGCGGGAGAGCCCACCCAGCTGCAGAATATTGAGGGGGCCCAGACCCCCCGTTGGAAATTTTGTGGGTGCCTGGACACCTGGGCATCTGCAGATGTTTATGAATGCCTGTTGCTGAAAGCCACAGGACTCTTGTGAGGGCTCTTGTGCTCAGATCCTGCTCCCTGGCTTCCCACGGGCGTCTGATCAGTTGGCGTTTCCACCCTCAAGGGCACACAAAGGGGCAGGAGCTGCAGCACCCCGACTCCAGGCCCCCTTGATAGGGTGGGAAGGGAGACCACTCACCAGGATGCTCAGAACCAGTTGGGCAGTAAGCAGAGGAAACCTGCCCCCCTTGGCCCAGAGAGACCAGAGTGGGTGGGGGGTTGTCAGACGGGGCTGGTGCGTCTTGTTGTTGACCGTGGCTGAGGCCTTCCCAATGAGATCTCGTGCCCCTGGGACCCCTTTACCAGCCTGCCAAAGTACTAGAGCAGCTGCTGTTGTTCCCCGCTCCCTGCAGGTGCGCATGGCGCTCAAGAACGCGGAGAAGGAGCTGGAGTCGCACAGCAGCTGGGCCGTCCCAGAGGCCTTGCAGAAGTGGCTTCAGCTGACCCACGAGGTGGAGGTGCAGTACTACAACATCAAGAAGCAGAACGCCGAGAAGCAGCTGCTCCTGGCCAAGGAAGGGGTGAGTGAGGGGCAGGGAAGAAGGAGCAAGGAGGCCCAGTCGAGAGGGAGGACTTCTTCAGGCAGCGCATGGCTAAACTATGGGGTTCTGGTCGCCTCGCCTCAAAGAGGGTATGTAGAATTGGAGGAGGTTCGGGAAAGGGCACCCAGAATGATCCTGGGGGTGGAGCAACTCTCCTACAAGGAAAGGCTGCCACCGCGTCTGGGGCTTTTCATTTAGAGAAAAGTCAACATGATAGGAACTTGTGAAATTGTGTACCGCATGGAGAAAGTGGATAGAGGAAAGTTTCTCTCTCTCATAGCACTAGAACTTGAGGACATGCAGTGATGCTGGATGCTGGATGATTCAGGACAGAGAAAATAAAGTAGTTCTTCACACAGCACAGAATTAAGCCATGGAACTCCCTGCCACAGGATGGTCTTGATGGCTTTAAAAGAGGATCAGACAAATTCATGGAGGGCTTTGGAGGGCTGCTAGCCCTGATGCCTGTGCTCTGCATCCACAGTTGGAGGCAGCGATGCTTCTGAAGGCCGGTTTCTGGAAACCACAGGAGGGGAGAGGGCTCTTGTGTTTGAATCCTGATTACGGGCTTTGCTTTAGGCCACCTGGTTGGCCACCGTGAGAACAGACCATTGACTTGATCCAGGAGCCAAACTCTTACACTTCAGTGAGGCTCATGGAGGTGGGAGACAGAACCCACAGACCGCTCAGCACCCTGTGACAGAAGGGTGTGGGCTGTGTCTTCCTTTCCTAGCCTCGCCCTCTGGGTCCCTTAGGGGCTGGCAGCTAAGACTCAGGAGCTGAAAGGTTTGAATAGACGTCACCTTTTCTGTTACATTCCTCTGCTTCCAGGCCGAAAAGATAAAGAAGAAGCGCAACACTCTCTTTGGGACATTCCACGTTGCCCACAGCTCGTCCCTGGACGACGTGGATCATAAAATCCTGACGGCCAAGTGAGTTTGCTGTGTGTGTGTGGGCAGCTTCTGTCCGCTCTGCCCCCTCCGCAAGACCCACATCCTAGGAAGCTGCTGCGCAGGTTTGGAGGCCAGAAGCCGGGAGCCTTCAGCTGTGCGGGAGGCAGATGACCCCCCATTCTGTTCTGCGGAAGCAAGAGCGCTTTGCGAAGGAGGAAGGGCCTAGCCGCCCATCCGCTCGGGGTTGGGAGCGGGCCTCCAGAGGGACTTGGGCAAGGCCACTCCGCAGGCTAAAGATGTTCTGTGGTGCAGGCGCATCGCCCTCTGCTTTGCCACTTTTTGTCTGGAGATGCTGCCAGATTGAATCTGGGGCCTGTTGCATGCCAAGCAGACACTCGGCCACTCAGCTCTGCTGGGGTTCATGGAACTGTAGAGTTGGGGGCACCCCAAAGGCCATCCAGACCAACCCCCTGCAAGGCACCTCAGGCCCTCCAGCCCTGCTTGTTTCCTTTCCTTTCTTTTTCCCCGTAATATTTGTTTATTTGTTTTCACAAGTACACATTTATAACAAAATTGTTTAAATAACTATTCTCTGAATCTCCAGACTTACCTCCATCCCCTACATGGGTCCTTGTACCAATATTTACAACTACATATCAGCCCATTCTCCATGATTGTCGTATTCCCAAATTGTCTATAATTTTCATTACATTACAAGTGGGTCTTATAGTCGAGCTAAAGTTTTAATTTGTTTACAATGGTCTCCTAGGTAAATTATAAATTTTCCCCATTCTTTTTTAAAGTCCTTGTCTTCTTGATTCCTGGTTAGTTTTGCCCTTTCGGCGTAGTCCAGCAGCTTGGCTTGCCAATTCTTCCCTAGTTGGGATTGTTTCTTCTTTCCATCTTTGGGCTAATAACATCTGTGCAGCTGTTGTCACATACATGAAAAGTATTTTCTGATCTATTGGGGTCTTCGCACCTATAATTCCTAATAGAAACACTTCTGGGTTTTTAACAAAAGTTAAAAACATTTTTTTCAACTCATTATACACCATTTTTCAACTCATTATACACCATTTCCCAAAATGATTCTGTTACCTTACATGGCCACCACATATGGTAAAAGGTACCTTCCTTTTCTTTACACTTCCAGCAGGTATTTGAACTTGTTCTATACATTTTAGATAACTTAGTAGAGGTCAAATACCACCGGTGCATCATTTTCATAGAAGCTCGTTCCCTTCTCCACCCCGCAGGCAAGCCCTGAGCGAGGTGACGGCGGCCCTGCGGGAGCGGCTCCACCGCTGGCAGCAGATAGAGATGCTCTGCGGCTTCCAGATCGTGGTCAACCCGGGCATCCACACTCTGGTGTCCGTCCTCAACATCGACCCCTCGTGGATGGGAAGCTGCACGCGGCCAAACACCTCACACTTCATCATGACCGACGATGTGGACGACCTGGATGAGGAAATCGTATCCCCCATGTCCATGCAGTGTAGGTCTCCCTGGGGAGCGGGGCGGGGGGGGCGAGGGACTTCACAGCCATGGAAAGCAGGGAGCCCTCACCTGTTAGAGGACTTTAGGCTAGCAGTGATTCTCAAACTTGGGTCTCCAGTTGCCTGTTGGACTACAACGCCCATCATACTTTGCTAGCAGGACCTCTGGGGTCACGGATGATGGGAGTTGTAGTCCAACAGCAGCTGGAGACCCAGGTTTGAGAAACGCCAGCGAGGGGATGGTCCGCTTTCACACAGTCCTCCTGGTACAGAGATTCCCAAAGCTTTTCCTCTGTTGTTGTTGTTATTTATTACCACCCTATACCTGGAGGTCTCAGGGGGTTCACAGAACAAAATCAAAATATAAAACCACAAAATATATAATTGAAATAAAAACAGCAACCCAATAGCCCCCTCCCCCTCTCTCTGTTCCATCAACTTGTCCCCAGTGCCACCCATCCCGCCCGGTATAAAAGCATTATTTGGAATAGCAGTTTGCACAACCCCTAAGGAAGATAATCGCATGGTAAAATTGAAGGTGGTAACCGTGAATTGCACAATTATTTGCAGCCCAGTTAAAACTATTTCGTTCAGTTGATTCAACAAAATGGATGGGCTTGATCCGGGGATGCCAGCTTTTCACTATAGTGATTTGCGCCTTCGTTGTCCCCCTGCCACCCCCTTAGCGCTCCCTTTCCCTGCTGAGCCCACTGCCCCACCCCCACTTTGGGAACCTCTGGACCAGAGGGCCCCCCCCATATCGCCTTTCCGACACAGGAAGCAAATTCTACATGGAGGGAAGTGGGAAGTGTCCCCCGCATCTGGTGCGCCTGTGTGCTTTAAGAGCCAGGGGGGTCCTGGCCTCCCCACCTCTGCCTTAAAGTGGGGCGGTGGGGGGGAGGAGAGCGTGGCCTGGGGCTACAGAACGCCACCGGCTCCCATCGTGCAGCTTCAACACGCCTGGAATCAAGCGGGGCTTGGTAAGGCTCAGCTCAAGGATGCTGTTCCTTTGAACATGCGCAGAGCGTTCCCCAAGCTCATCCAGGCACCTGCAGTCTGGGGCTCAGGAGCTTCTGAGCAGAGGTTTGCACGCCAGCCTTTTGCTCTTCTGAAGCACCCCTGACTCACAGTGGCCTAAGGCAGGAGCGCCTGGCTTGCCTCTGCCCTGCACTTCCCCAATGCTGGGAGGAGTGTGGGGTGGGTGGGAATTTGCTGCTGTGCTTCAAGGGACCCCGAGGGTCATCCAGCCCACCCCCTGGCAATTCGGGAATCCCGTAGAATAGACTGGAAGCTGCTCCCCCTAGGCAGGGAAGGTGAGGAGAGAGCGGTTGCTGGGGGTGTCAGCTGGGGGCAGACGTGGGGAAGGCAAGCCTGGGGGTGGTGAGTGGGCACAGAGTGGGAATGGGACCCCAACAGGTCATCTATCCCAACTCCAACAATGGGGTGCAGGGCAGTGGTCTAGGTTTGGCAGGATTTGGGGGGGCGGAGGGCAGGGTCCTTTGCTTGCCATTCAGAAATGCCAACGCGAGGTGTGATGTTTCTCCCCACCAATGACGCCCCTCCTTTCTCTCTCCCCCGCCGGCCTCCCTGCCCTCCTCCCGGTTGGCTAACGCCAGACGCAGCCTTGCTCTTGGGGCACAGGTTCAGCGACCGCTCATCCCTCTCCTCGGAGGACCAGTCCTGGAAATACCCCGGTTTGAGGATTATTATCTTGGGTTCTCTTTTCACCCTCTGAACTAAACGCAAAGGGCAGGAAGGCGGGGCCCTCCTGCTCACACAACGGCAGCACCAGCAGCCTCTCTCAGCACAGAAGCTAATTCTCACCTCATCCTTTCTTCCTTCATCTCTAGCCAAAAAAGCGCACACAAAAAACAACAGCACCCCAATGCTGGCATCTTTACTAACACCTTCCCTGGGGGCAGGGCCTGCTGGGACCCAGAATCACCCCCAGGCAGAGAGGAAAGCAGCGCAGGAGGGACTCAGGGGTCACCTGGACTCTGGGCCCTGAATGTTCCTGTCCACAGTCGGAGGCAGTGATGCTTCTGGATCCCAGCTGCTGGAAAATGCAGGAGGGGAGAGGTCCCTGGTGCTCATATCCTCCTTGCGGGTTTCCCATAATGGGCGTCTGCTTGGTCACTGTGAGAAGAGGAGGCTGGACAAATGGGCCATTGGCCTGATCCAGCAGGTGATTCTTAGGTTCTTGCGTTTCGAAAGACCTTCCAGGCTGAAACCTGCAGTTACTGGAGGATGCTTTCTGGCAAGAAACAAGAAGACAGAGCAACCTGCCCCCTCCCCCTGCCTCTGTGGGCAAAGATTCATCGCCTGCCCCCCCCCAGCCTCTGGAATATTAGAATTGTAGCGTTTGAAGGAAGCCCAAAGGTCACCTAGTCCAACCCCCTGCAGTTCAGGAATCACTTGAGCTGCTTCCTGGTTCTTCAGATCCCAGCAGGGCCCCCCTTGCTCATCAGCTTTCCGCTCCATGCGCCTCTTAACCCCTGTGACGTTGCTGCTTTCTTTGCATGCCCCTCCAGTGCCCAGGCACCCTCCACCCCTGGAACCCAGAAGGCACCTCCCATGGTGCCCCGTCAGGAGTTATGCGTGGGTGCTGTGAAGCCTTGGAGGTCCGGGGGCCTCGTCCTGGATTCCCAGGCGTGAGTCTGCCAGGCTCCTTCGCTCGCTTCTCATCCGTTAGCAGGGCTGCATTTGAGAGAAGAATACGGAGAGGGCAAGAGGAGGGAGATGCTTATAAGAATCCCCCAAAGAAGATAGCGAAGACCCTCTATAGGGCAGCAAGCAACTTAGGTGACCCCCATAGATGCCTCTCGACTACTTTGACAAAACTGCTCCTCTTAGGGTGCCACGTCAACCCCATTCCACATTGTGCAAAAACAATATTTTGATGCGACGGCACCTATACACTTATGAACCTGTTATTGACATCCCTGCACTCTTTGGCTTAGACAAGCCTGCTGCTGCAAGTTTTACTCTATTTCCACTTTAACTTTTTTTAAGTCTTAGGTTGCTGCGCTCAGTTTTTTCTTACAGATGATTTCATGGTTTTATTTTCCCCCCTACGTTGCTTTGAGCTTTCTCCTTCCAGTCGAGCAGTGTGTAACTCTTACAAAACAAGCAAAACAAAAGGGACTGCAAGGAGGAGCTGCCACAGCCATTTACTGGGGGCTCAGGGCGAGTGGGGAGCTCCTTCACTTCCCCGGGGGAGCAATTGGCAGTGGGTAGGGACAGGGCGCAAAAGCCGACAGCCAGCAACCTCTCCTGTCTCCCTTGAGCCGCTCGCCCTCCTAATCCTCTGTCTCTCTCCCGGTTTAGCGCCCTCCATGTCCAGCGGCGTCCGTCAGCGCCTCGTCGACCCGCAGCACTCCATGGGATCGCAGAGGTTGGTAGAGAGTCACCAGGCCGCCGGCCAGGGTGAATCGGGGCCGCTGGCCCACTACCTGCCCGGCAGGGTCACTCTGCGCCGGATGCCTAGCTTGAGCGGCAGCCAGCCCTTCGCCTCTGACATCCACGGCGGAAGTGTGGCCGCCTGCTCTCCATCTTCTTCTTCCTCCTCCTCGCCGCCGTCTCCTCCTTCCTCCTCCTCCACGGGCCACTCGCCCTCCTCCGCTTCCGCCTGCCACGGCCTGCCCATCCTTTACCACCACACCACCTCCTCCTACATCCTCCAGGTGGACACCCTGCCCAACCTGCCCCCTCCCGACGTCACCTCCGGGATGCGCTGCCGCGCCGAGAGCTATGGGTATTGTGCGGCTTCCTCCGGGAGTGGTGCTTGCCCTCTTGGCTTCCCCTCCGGGGCCCGGCCTGCCTTCCTAACCCCACTTCCTACCTCCTTCCCTTGGCAGAAGCATGGGTGCCCGTGGCTGCCGTCTTGAGGCCTGCACAGCCTGGTTTGGCGTGTCATTGGTCCTCTCGCTTGGTGGTTCTGGCCAGGGGAAAAAAAGGACGCTAACACAACTAACCGGCCAGCCACCTCCCTGCCTGACTTGGGCCGTCCTGTGATGCCGAGTGTGCTTTTGTTTGGTTTGCCTCCACTTCTGCCCGCTGCACAGAGTTAAATTGCTCCAAGAGGGCTCTTGGGTTTGAATCCTGCTTGCAGGTTCCCCATAACCAGCCACTGTGACAACAGGACGCTAGATTAGGCGGGCCATTCGCCTGATCCAGTGTGCTCTTCTGGTGTTCTTAACCCTGCCTGGGTTTGTGTGTTGGTGTGTGTGTGTGTGTTTTGGACATCAGTAATTATTACTATTCTTATTAACCCCAGCCACTCTGGGCAGCCTCCAACACGTACAAAAACATATTAAGACGTCAAACATGGAAAGCTTCCCTAAACAGGGCAGCCTTCAGATGTCTTCTAAAAGTCTCCTTGACATCTGAAGGGAGGAGGGTGTTCCACAGGGAGGGAGCTACTACCAACAAGGCCCTCTGCCTGGTTCCCTGTAACTTCGCTTCTCACAGGGAGGGAACCGCCAGAAGGCCCTTGGCACTGGACCTCAGTGTCCTGGCTGGACAATGGGGGTGGAGATACTCCAGGTATACTGGGCTGAAGCCGTTTAGGGCTTGAAAGGTAAACACCAACACTGAATTGTTCTGGAAGCCAATGTAGATCCTTTAGGACCAGTGTTCTATGGTCCCAGCGGCCGTTCCCAGTCTCCACCAGTTTAGCTGCTGCATTCTGGATTAGTTGTAGTTTCTGGGTCATCTTCAAAGGTAGCCCCACGTAGACCGCATTGCAGTAGTCCAAGCGGGAGATAACCAATCTGGAGAGAGAGTGCGCGGTCACACATTTTAAAATCCGGGTTCCTCATGCCCTGCTTTTTTTCCTTGTCTCTCTCTCCCCCACCCCCAGAGATTTATCACACTCTGACTCGGATTCCTCCATCCCTCACCTGAGCAACAGCCAGCGCACGTCCAGCTCGGCCCCCCGGCTGCCTGCCCGGCCAGCACTGCTCAACAAGTCGGAGGAAGCGGCAGTGGCGGCCGCCTGCGGCTACGGCAACCGGCCGGCGGAGGCTTCCTCTCTGCCAGAGCCCTTCCCCGAGAGCCCCATCCTCATGAAGAAGGCCGTGATGCTGAACCACGGCCTGGAGAAGTCGTCCAGCCTGGGGGAGATCAGCCACGCGGCCGGGGCAGGGCCCCTCTCCCGCCAGGCCCACTCCGACTCCTCCCGCTCCCACAGCCCCAGCTCCACCGAGCCTGACACGCCCTCCCCCACCTCCGACCCCCGGCTCAACAGCCAGGGCAAAGCCGGCAACAGCCGCATCCCCCACCTGGCCTCCAAGAAGAGCGCGGCCGGTGGGGAGGAAGACAGCGGTTCCACGGGGGAAGAGACCGACTCCTCGGGGCAGGGAAAGAAGAAGTTCCCCCTGAAGATCTTCAAGAAGCCCAAGAAATAAGTCCGGGCCGGGGGGGGTTGGCAAGGAGGGAACCCCCCAGCCAAACACCCACGCTGGTACGGAGCAGGAGGCGAGGGGAGGGGGAGCACCTTGGGGGGGGGGCAAGAGCACCCACCCACCTCTCCTCCTCCTCCTCCCCCAGGATCCCTCTGCTCTCCGGGTGGAGGAGCTGCAGGTGGAAAGCCCCTATTTATTTTGTGACGTCGGCCTGGCCGCCTTCCTCACGTGGTGGTGGGGGGTCCCTTGCTTTTGGCTGCGCATGGCTTCAGACGAGCTCTCCCTCCTAGCCCTCTCTCCACCGCCACACCGTGCGACACTGGATCCGTTCATCCCGCCCCCCCCTTTGTTTGCTGCTTCCCCTGCGCACCACAGCAGCCCCCAGGAGGCTCAGTGGCCGACTCCACAGGGAGGGAGAGGATTTTGCAAGGGGGCTGTTGCTGGGGAGGGTGGGGTGGTGCTCGCCTTGCTTGTCCTAACCCCCATATGTGGGTTTACTCTAGGGACTAGCCCCTTTGCCTCGAGTGAAGCAAAGAAGGGGCAGGAAGAGGGCAGGCCAGGGCTGCTGGGAGGAGTGGGGAAAGAGAGGGAGATGAACTCCAATCGGCCTGCAAAAGCCCATTTTTTAGATCCCTTTGTTAACATCAACTGTTTGTTACAGACAAAAAGGGGCAAGTTCGGCGCCCAGCTCTGTGGGCAGGAGACCACAAAGCGGCCACTTGGCCCCAGAGCAGCAGGGGCTTTCCTTCTCCCCACACCTCCCCTCCAGTGGAAAGAGGCCTTGACTTTCCTGCAAGTGGCGCTTGGCTTTGGGGCGGGGGTCCCTGCAGGAGCTGGGGGGCTTTCTTGTGCCTGCTTTCTGGCTCACAAATGAGCAGGAGGCTTTGCTGAGCCTAGAAGCCTTCTGCAAGAGCTTCCCCACAACTCTACCTTTGGGGTTGCTGTCTGCCCCGGGACATCCCTGCTACAGCCAGGTCTTGCCCTATGCACGTGGGACGCAGGGAGATCATAGCTGGCCTGCCTCCGGCTGGCTCAGCTTCTTGGCCACGCCAGGTGTCCGGCTGCGTGTCACCAAGCGGAGGAGACCCCCCTGCCCTCCTGGTTGCAGTCTGGGAGCTGGCGGCTCTTGTGGGGATGTGCGTGCGAGAGAGCTGCCTCCCATTCCCTCTCGCAGGTTCTGTTTTGCTTTGTTTTTGCACTTTGGAGCAAAGATGGACAGGTTTGGGCCGCTGGTGGCCTGCTTCCGTGGCAGACACAGGTCCTCTTCCCCTCCAGAGCCCTGCCTGCATGCCTTGCAAGGACAGAGGAAGGGCTTTGGGGAAAACTCAGAGACTTGATGGCCAAGCTGGCACCGCTTTGAGCTTCCTGCTGCTGCTGCTGCTGTTGCTGCTTCTCCTCCATCTCCGAGCGCCTGCGCCGTCGGGGCCTTGCTCTGCCAGCTTGACAATGTCCCAGTCTGGTGAGGAAGGCGAGAGACCGGGCACTTACAGGGGTGGGGTGGGGGCTGGGCTGGGCTGGGCTGGGCTCAAGCAGAGGATGGGGCGACCCCCACCCCACCCCCCAAGTTCCACCATCCAAAGCCATGGAGACCAGAGGCCCAGGCAAGCTTGAGAACCCGGAAGGATCGTGGTGCTCCCTTCTACCCTTGCCACGCGCCAGAGGAGGCACAACGAGCGCCAAGGAAAGCAGCCTTCACATCATCATCTTCCTGTCCTGTCTGGCTGCCAGCTTCTGCCCTGGGCAGCGATGGGCACCAGGAGAGCGTCCCGTTCCCCCCAGCGCCAGGCCACCCTGCTCTGCACCTGCCAAGTCTTGATCTTATTTAAAGGCCATTTCATAAAACTGTTTTCAATCCAATAAAAGCATGTAGATTATTTTAAGGCGGCTGTGTGGCGTCGGTGCCTTTGGCAGAGGGAGGGGGCAGGCAGGAAGTGGCGGTTGGGCAAGAAGGAAGGGTTTGCTTTGGGTGGCATTGCAACACGGCCTTGGCTGAGAGGAAGAGCCTGAGGGGCAATTTCCTAGAGTTGGAAGGGACCACAAGGGACACCTAATGGAACCCCCTGCAATGCGGGAATCAGTATTTTTACATTCATTTATACCCCACCTTTTCCCTGACAAGGACTTGGCGGCTGACAGCTGAAGAAGGATCCCTGTCAGATGCTCGTCTGATCTCTGCTTTAAAACCTCCAAGGAAGTCCGTTCCACTGCCGGACAGCTCTTGCCATCGGAGGGGAGGGGGGCGCACCAAGAAGGGCCTCGGAGGATGAGCGCAGGATCTGGGTCAGTTCATGTGGGGAGAGGCAGTCCTTGAGGTATTGTGGCCCCGAGCTTTGAATTGGGCCCGGAAACAGATTGGTAGCCAGTGCAGCCAGTCCAGGATTGGCATCCCAGGCTCAAACCGCCTTGCCCCGGGGAGCAGCCTAGCCACCAAATTCTACATCAGCAGACATTTCCTCACTGTCTTCAGGGTCAGCCCTTTGCTATAGCATTGCAATAACAATTTATGCACACACTGTGAGTTGTGGATTATGTGTTTGCACCCTAATGCCTACCCTGGGCTGCCTTTGGCTCAGTTCCCAAGGGAGAGAAAAAAATTCAACTGCACCAAGGCACTTGGAAGAGATCAAACCATTTATTTAGGGGGAAATCTTCAATTTCCCCTGGAAGGGTGGGGGGAGCTCTGCTTCCACATCTGGTCTTCACAGGGGTTGCATCTTCCAAACCTTTCCCTCCCAATGCCCTGCCCCACACTTCCGCCAACCAAAGCCCCACACAGAACCCCCTCCCTACTCGTCCCGCCATTGGCACCCACAGATCTGAAGAGAGAGAAACAGGAATACAACATAGCAATGGAGTGCAGAGACTGTGGGCAAGGGAATCCTGAACAGGAGGACCAATGGCGGGGAAGGGGCTCAAGGATGGAGAGACCCAACTGCCTGCACCTTCCCGAGCATTAATATCAGGGCAGGGCTAGGGAATCGGGGACCCCTCCAGCTCCCATCTGCCCCAGGCCCCAGGTTGAGCCCACATCCCATAGGAGAGCCAGTCCCTATCCAGGGGATCGGGTCCTTCCCTACACCGGCTTGAGCTCGGTTACTTCGTTGGCTTCGCACTTGGCACCTAGCAGGGACACTGCCAAACTTGGATGTCTAAAAAGAGACGGACGAACACCTGGTACAAACCCCAGCCCTCCACTGGCCATCTGCTTGGGCCACTTCAGCAATGGGGGCGAGAGGAGGGAAGAGGGAGCAAGGAAGAATGACCCAGGTGGGGCGCAAGGGAGGAAGCAGCCCAGAGTTTTCCTGCTGCTCTGCAGCAGACAATGTCCTGCTTGTTTTCTTCCTGGCTGGAGAGTCAGGTGTGCAAATGAGAGAGAGAGGAACGCTTTGCCAGTCCAGAAAAACTGGCTGGCACCTGGCCTCTCGAGCGAGTGGCACCTCCTTGGCAAGCCATCCGTTGAGTTGGAGGAGCTCTTGGAGACAGCAATAGCCTGCCACGTTCGTGAGCCCAGCAGGGCTGGCAGATGGCACCGACGTTGCCACAGCAGGGTCTGGAAGAGTCCTGCCAGCCCTTGGCCACCTCCCTGTTACGTAGGGAAAAGAGCTCTGAAGCCCTAGGCAGGCCTTGCAATGAAGAGTTTGGCCCCCGACTCAGACTCTCCTTGGCAAACAGCAGCAGGGCATCCCCATCGCCATGATGGGGACGTCTCCAAGGAAGCTAAGATGGGCGGTTGCTGTTGGCGAAGGCGGACAACCGCGGCCCTGTTCACCCACAGATCGATGCTTCGTCGCTGTGCGGCGACTGCCAGCCCCCCGTGAAGTCGTTGTCCGTCAGGTTCACCGTGTAGGGGACATCGATGATCTCGTGAGACGCATCCCGGCTGCTGGCAGTGCGCCAGGAGTTCAGAGGGCGGATGGCTTTCCTGAAACGCTGGGACAACGGCAGAGAAAAAAGCTATGAGCTTCTGAGTTCAGCTTTGAACCTCCAACCTTGCATCCTAAATTAAAAGAAGCAAGAGGGCTCAGGACTACAGGAGCTCTGTGTGTTCAGCCCCACAACATCCCCCTGGTAGGGTTGGGAAGACCCTCCTATGGAACCCTGGAGGGATGCTGCCACTCTGTGTGGGTCAGGGATCACCAACCTGATGCCCCCCTCCAGTCATTGGATTACAACCCCCATCAGCCATAGGCTGGCAGTTGGGGATAATGGGAGCTGGAATTGGAAGGTTCGGGAAAGATTAAAAAGTAGGTCCTTCTTCCTGCAGAGCAAAGAGCGTGCTTGAACTATGGAACTCCCTGCCACATGAGGCAGCAATGGCCGCCAGCTTGGATGGCTTTAAAAAAAGGATTGGGTGAATTCATGAATGAGGAGAGGGCAGTCGGTGGCCACAATGGCCACACTCTGCTTCTGAATACCACGGGGGGGGGGGGGAGGGCTCATGCTCAGATCCTGATTTTTGGTTTCCCATCAAGGGCACCTGGTTGGCCACTGTGAGAACAGGATCCTGGACTAGAGGAGCCATTGGCCTGATCTTACAGTCTTCATCCAGCAGCTCCCAGAGGGAAGTGTCTGCGCAGATGGATCAATGGCTGGTCACGGTAAAAGGTAGCTCCCTGTAGTCATTTGCCTGCTGCCTAAGCTGGCTTTGAAACATTACCTGCCGTTTATCGTCTTGACTGTTTAAAGTGCTCCAATAATAATAATAATAATAATAATAATAATAATAATAATAATAATAATAATAATAATTTTAGAATGCTGTGTTACTTTTATTGTTGCTAGCCACTCTGAGCCCGGCTTTGGCTGGGGAGGGCGGGATATAAATACAATTATTATTATTATTATTATTATTATTATTATTATTATTATTATTATTATTATTATATATTTATACCCCACCCTCCCCACAGCTAGCAACAGTAAAATTACAGTAAAAACATAATAGGGGAAAAAGACCAATTTAAAATACAGGTTAAAATGCAATTTAAAATGCAGTCTCATTTTAAAAGTAGCCCATGGATCAAAACCGTAAGGAGAGGGAAAACATAAGGGTCAGACTGAGTCCAAACCAAAGGCCAGGCAGAACAGATCCGTCTTGCAGGCCCTGCGGAAAGATGTCAAGTCCCGCAGGGCCCTAGTCTCTTGTGACAGAGCGTTCCACCAAGTCGGGGCCAGTACTGAAAAGGCCCTGGCCCTAGTTGAGACCAATCAAACCACCTTGCGACCTGGGACCTCCAAAGCGTCATTTGTGGACCTTAAGGTCATCCGTGGGGCATACCAGGAGAGGCGGTCCCGTAGGTACGTGGGTCCTAAGCCGCATAGGGCTTTAAAGGTCAAAACGTCACCAGTCAAAACCAGGTGACATCAGATGACCCTGGGGGTCCCTTCGAACTCTGTGACCCCTGCAAGACAGGCCAGCTTGCCTAAGTCCCTCTGCTGAGTAGTGGCAGAGGTGGGGTTTTGAACCAGAGAACTGCGCAGCCCAGGGGCAGGAACTGTAGAATTGGACAAGTCCAGTGGTTCTCAACCTGTGGGTCCCCAGATGTTGTTGGACTACAACTCCCATCACCCCTGAGCTCTGGCCTTGCTAGCTAGGGGTGATGGGAGTTGTAGTCCCACAACATCTGGGGACCCACAGGTTGAGAAAGGCTGCTCTAATCCAACCCCCTGCAATTCAGAAATCTCAGCTCAAGCGTCCACGACAGAAGGTCATCCCACCCTGTGTCTAAAAGCCTCCAAACAGTCCATAAATTCCCAAGGGGAATAACTGCTACTCTCAGAAAGCTCTTCCTGATTCTTAAGTCAGAAACTCCTTTTTTACCATCAGATTGGGCCTCTGCTTCCGAAGCAGCAGAAAACAAGCTTGCTCCCTCTCTTCCACGTCAAGGCCTTGGAAGGTGTCTATATCACATCACCATTCAGCCTTCTGAATCATACTCACATCTGCCAGGGTCCCCGACTCCTTGAAGAGGGCGATGGCTGCCCAGAGAGGGATCTGGATGCAGGTCACGACCCCCATGCAGATGCCCAGGGCCTCTCCCCAACGGGGATATTGGTAAGTGCCGTAATGCAAAGTCGTGCTGGACAGATCCAGGAAGATGTAGAAGAGGATGAACTGTGGGGAGGGAGAAGGAAACACAAGCAATCGTTGGAGGATTCTGGGAGTTTCAGAAAGGGGCAGTCGTCATGCGTGAGCCTTCCCACCTCCTGTGTGAAAGGAGCAGAATGATTTTCTTGCTATTCTGGCACAAGCAATTTATTTATTTATTTATTCATACATACATACATACATACATACATACATACATACATACCCCACCCATCTGGCTGAGTTTCCCCAGCCTCTCTGGGCAGCTCCCAATCGAGTGTTAAAAACAATACGGCATTAAACATTAAAAACTTCCCTAAACAGGGCTGCCTTCAGATGTCTTCTAAAAGTCAGATAGTTGTTTATTTCCTTGACATCTGATGGGAGACCATTCCAAAGAGCAGGCGCCACCACCGAGAAGGCCCTCTGCCTGGTTCCCTGTAACCTCACTTCTCACAGGGAGGGAACTGCCAGAAGGCCCTGGGATCTGGACCTCAGTGTCCGGGCAGAACGATGAGGGTGGAGATGCTCCTTCAGGTATACTGGACCGAGGCCGTTGAGGGCTTTCAAGGTCAGCACCAGCACTTTGAATTGTGCTCAGAAACATACTGGGAGCCAAAGGACCGGTGTTATGAGGTCAGAGACCACAGTGATGGCCGTGAAAGGCCTATAAACAATGGAGAAATTTGCCCTCCCTAAGTCTTCCAATATCACGATGGCATTACAGTCATACCTCATGTTACGTTTGCTTCACGTTACATTCTTTCAGGTTACGTCCCGTGGCGACCCGGA